TATATACATAAGGGAAATCGTAGAAAAAAAGATAACTATTGCATAATGCAAATGGCTCGATGAATATTATGAAAGAGATCATTAATATTAAGGGCGGTTAGCAGCGACCGTAATAAATCATTGATAGGCTTTCGTCCATCATATGACGAATTAAATCAGTTAATTACTTTTATGTTAATTCAAACCCTTTTTATTTGAATTATTGCAAACGTTAAAATTAAAACAAAAATATAAAAACCAATTAATTTAGCAAAGCAACGAAACTTATTACGATTTTTATATTTATAAGCACTTTTATTGTATAAAATAATTACGTCTACTTGAATAAGTACGAGCCTATGCAAAGCACCCGACGATTTTCCTTCCTCCGTATGCCCTCCGCCAAAACTTTCCTCCTTGTCCTCCTTGCTGCTTCACTATCTTTTTACTTTTTCCCTTCGGATGAAAAAAGTAATTATTTACTGATAAACTCTCTGTAGTCTCTATCACTATATAATGAACAATATTTTCCTTAATCTTGTCCTTCGATATTCCAGAAATCGCTACGTATACTATAATACGAAGTTAATTTCACGCCATTGGACATTTTTAAGAAAGCCTAACTGTAATTGGACTCTGCTCACTATTTTTTTTTCTATTTTTTAGTCCTAGCATGGCTGAATATTCCGCTCACTTCAGACAGAAATATTACTGTGCTACAGTTAAAGAATATGCTAAAAGAAAGAGAATTCATAATCATTGATGTAAGAGAACCCTCCGAACTCAAAGAATCAGGACAAATCTTCGGAGCCATTAATATCCCACGTAAGCCATTTCTGCGTTGTAATACGTAGTTGGGACTGTCAATGAGGCGTTCTCAATGACAAAGGAGGACTTTCTGAAAAAGTTCGGTGTGGAAATGCCAAGTGTATACAATAGAAATGTCGTTTTCCATTGTAAATCCGGTTTTCGCAGCCGAAAGGCTATACACATTGTTGAATCCCTTGGTTATCGCAGGTATGTCTTTCATTAATTCAATGCTTCAGTGTTTTGAATTTAGACGGTGGCTATTTAGCATGGAGTGAGCACAAGTAGCTATTAGTATCCTTTGGTACATCGCAAAATACTTGTATCAAGAGCTTCTGACTTATAGTTTGCCGCTTAAGGCATCCGTCTATGGTGCCTTCATGAAATTTTTACATGATCGTGTACAATTACCTGTATGGGCTCGAATGTTCTGGACAAATCATGC